GAACTAGCTCCAATTCATCAATATAATATAGGCATGTATTCCGTATATAGTCATGCGTGCTTATGAAAAAGAACTTGAATGACATCTTTTGTCCAACCCTCCCGTGGCAGCGGGGTCCTAATGGAAACTGAGGGATATTAAGGCATCCTTTTAATAGAGAACCGAAACAAAGCATTAGCCCTTAGTGAATACATGAACTCCTCAAACTACAGTAATCACCGAAAAGAATCCCAATTATTGTCACCTTGGAGCATGCGGATCATAATTCATAATATGTGTCTACAACTTGCATAAGATCAAGAACATAAATATATTCATGAAAACATAATAGGTTTAGATCTGAAATCATGGCACTCGGGCCCTAGTGACAAGCATTAGGCATAGCAAAGTCATAGCAACATCAATCTCATAACATAGTGGATACTAGGGGTCAAACCCTAACAAAACTAACTCGATTACATGATAAATCTCATCCAACCCATCACCGTCCAGCAAGCCTATGATGGAATTACTCACGCACGGCGGTGAGCATCATGAAATTGGTGATGGAGAAGGTTGATGATGACGATGGCGACGAATCCCCCTCTCTGGAGCCCCGAACGGACTCCAGATCAGCCCTCCCGATGAAGAACAGGAGGCGGCGGCTCCATATCGTAAAACAGGACGAATCCTTCTCTCTGATTTTTTCTCCCCGAATAGGGTTATATAGAGTTGGAGTTAGGGTTAGAGGAGGTCTAGGGGGGCCATAAGCCCTCTAGGCGTGCCCCCAAGCTTGTGGCCTCTAGGTGGACCCCCTCTGGTTAATTCTTGCACCAGTATTTTTTATATATTCCACAAAAATTCTTCGTAAATTTTCAGGCCAATCCATGAACTTTTATTTCTACACAAAAATAACACCATGGCAATTCTGCTGAAAACAGTGTCAGTCCGGATTAGTTCCATTCAAATCATGCAAATTAGAGTCCAAAACAAGGGCAAAAGAATTTGAAAAAGTAGATATGATGGAGACGTATCAATGCTCAACACCGAATAGGCTAGCAAATATGGATAGAGTAGAAGTGCATAAAAAGTTCCAACCGGAAAATACACATGAAAAACTCAAATTCTTATTACAAGTTTTATGGCATCAACAAAGAATGGGGGAGTACTTTAGCAGAATAACTCCTAAACCAAAGTCACATGCTTAGTTACAACTACCACTTCGATGTGGATTGATGCGAGCAGCATATTTCCCAACTTAGGTTGACTAATGAAAGACAAGCACCATGATCCACCATTAACAACACCTATCACTGATAAGCGCCAACTATTTACCAACATGTTCATCTATTATTACCTCATTATCTCAAAAGAATTGCAAAGAATCCAATTCTCAAGTTTATAACCTTTACAAATAGCTCACACAAGTTTTCATTTATACCACAATTGCATGCTTATAAATTTTAGTATCAACATATTAATCCATGATGACAACCAATTACTATCCAACTCTCCAAAAAGATATAAGTGAAGCAAGAGATTTCCATTTATTAATTGGATTCTGTCATGCTCTAACAAATATAAGTGAAGCAAAAGAGCAATTCTAAATACATAACCATGTAAAGCCCTCCATAGTAAATTTGTTTTGATGTGATGATTGTTTAATATCAGCAAGAAAAAACAAAAAAGAAAACAAAATGATGCTCCAACAGTAACAGATACCATGTGAACAAATAAAAATAGGTCCAACCGAGACAAACTGATAATTGTTGATGAAGAAGGGGGGTGACTTGGGCCCTCCCTAAGCTTAGATGCTTGAGAATTCCTGAATATTCCTGAATATCCCTTTGGCTGCCTTGAGCATCCCCAAGCTTTAGCGCTTCATCTCCTTATTCTTCTCATATCACTATCTCACCTAAGTCTTAAAAACTTCATCCACACAAAACTTTCATAGAACTTGCCAGGAGGGTTAGTATAAAAAACTTAATTCTTATGAAGATTTGTTGTAGATCCATAAAATAATTACAATTCAACCTTTTCCACTATATGTTAACACCGTTTTAAAATTCTCACACCACTATAGGACCAATAGAATGCAAACATACACAGTTAAAGGAATCTATAGCAGGAATATGTCAAAATAGAGCTGTCAGAAAAGAAATATTTTTTTCATACATCTATAACTCAAAAATTCTTAAAATTAGCACTTAACAGAGAACTCATGTATGTGTACCGTGTTAAAATTTTGTAACTTTATCAACTACTGGTTGCTGTTTTTAGTAGCAGAAAAATTCCTGTTTCAGCACAACAACACACGAATGTGCAAACTTAACATGCTAAAGGCTATCCCTGGCACTTTATTGAAAACATACATAAAAAAGAGTGTTGCCACAGTAAGTAAAAACTTTATTAAGGATAATTATGGGTTGTCTCTCGCAAGCTCTTTCGTCATAGCCATTAAGATAGGCTTAATATTTTAATGATGCTCACATGAAAATATGATTGAAGCATAAAAGAGAGCATCAAAAAGCATATACCAATCATATTTAAATCTAACACACTTCCTATGCATATGCATATTATAAGTAAACGAATTATTAGGACAAGCAATCCCTAGCATAGGCAAGAGAGAAGAGTGAAACTTTAAATCTTTCAACATAAAGAGAGGTTATTTATTTGTATGAAGATTTCTATGGTCATACTTCCCTCTCTCAGAGTAATTGCATGTGGGATCATAATCAAAGTCAATAATATAGCTATCACCTACGCAACTTTCCTAATTATCCACATTCATTTATCACTCTCCAAATAGTGGGATCAATAGTAACTAAAGTTATGACCTGTTCAAACCCAATTTTATTAATATTGCAACCATACTGAACACTCTCCAAATTAGTACGATCATCACTACCTAAAGGTATGACCTCTCCAAGCCCCTTTTAATGATATTTTTTATCAATTATAGATTCATCATAGGTCTCAAGTAAATTTTAAGGCCACAAGAGGTGTCATAATTGCCTCCCCAATCATGATGATTATACCAAGTAGAAGGCATAACATAATCATCCTCCATAGTGCCTACAAACATAGTGTCACCGTAAAATCATCAAATTTCCTCCATCATAAAATTCAACATCTTCATCACTAATCATAAAGTTTATCGTGTATATCCCAATTATACTTAGTATTTGCTGAGAACAACCCAATAAATTTTTCTTATTTATCTTTTTCATTATTAGCCATTGGTTCTAAGTATGTAAGATTTTTCAAAAGTTTGGAAGATAACTTTTATTTCCTTTATGTGCCAATAGAGTTGCTAACATGCTGAAATTTCGATATTTTTGGTATTTTTGAGTTATTTGGAAAGCAGAAAAGCAAACTTTTGATCATTCATGACATGATTGCATATAGGCATTACGTCCCTATATCTATAGACCATTATCCAATTGCATCTATAGCTAATACTTCTCCCCAAGACCGCTATCTAGTATGCATTTCAAAGTATTAAGTAAAACGGAGTATTACATTAAATTGACCTAGAGCATCTAAACATCGCAGCTCATGAGATGTTTGTATTGAAGAACTAGGGAGAGAAGATGCAGTATAGCTGTTACTATGGACCATAGTCCATGAAGGACAACTCAGACATGGTCATGGTGTCATCAGGGTTGATGAATGTAGCTTCGGTGATGGATTCCACCGCCGGCAGAGTACCATAACAAGCCTCCAGTTGGATCATGGTAGAACAGAGAGGTGCAACGGCAGAAAAAACCTTGATAAATTCGACAAGGGCTTTCGAAAAAATATAAAGGCACATGCACCCAGGTGTAGTGGGAAAGCGGTGGGGAGGGGGCTACCCATGCGGCCCTACCACGTGCCAACTGGCCATGCCAGCATGGCGTGTGGGGACAACAACCCCTAGGTGCGCACAAGTGCCTTTGGGTTCATCCTTACGTGAAACTTTACAACGTATTTTTGTTGATTTTTTTGTCCCTGGAAAATTGAGTTTCCTAGACAATAGAAAACAACAAATAGCTCTGGGCATTGAATTAATCTGTGCCAAATCTATGCAATTATGATATAAAAGTAGCATCAAATAAGCAAAAGTTATATATACATTTGAGACGTATCATGGCGTTCCTTTGAATTTCATCTTCTTCATCATGTTGGTGTGAAGGGGTCATGTTCTTGTTGTTGTCGTCTCAACACCTAGGTCGAGGATCCCACCTCTCAAGGCTTCTATTTTGGCCAGGACTCTCAAACCATCCGCCTGGTCCAGGGTGACCTCAAGATGTGGGGCCCTTCATCTCTTCTTTCCTGGGCGGCGCATCCACTTTATGATTTTTCGCACTCCTCCAAAACCTTTCTAGATAACCAGCTGGTCCATTTCTGTGGCTACCAGTTGTCCCAACCCATGGGTATCATTCCCTAAGTCATGGGTCATAGATCATACTTTTATCACTTCTAGCACAACCGATTGGACAAACTCAGGTGTCCCACTGAACTAGCATCTGGGGCCTCGAGCCCCTAGCCATAGAGCATGGATATGACTTTATCAAATCATCAAACATCTGATTGGGCCAACTTGGTCATTGAACCGAACAATTCTGAGTGTCTCGAACCCCTAGTATTAGATCATGGATCCAACTTTCATGATTTCGAGGATCATCCCTCCTAGCCAACATGGGAATTTGGACCAATCTGAATTCCAGAGTTGATCCCCTGTTCTTGTATCATGGATTCGATTCCATAATTCTGGGAATCATCTGCCACATCCAACATGTCATTTCGACCTTTCCAACTTCCGTGGTATCAAACCCCTGGTCTTGGCTCATGGATCCGACTATTCTCATTTCGTAGAAAACTGACCGGGCCAACTTGGTCATCCAACCGAACCAACATCAGGGATCTTGAATCCTTGGTCTTGGATCATGGATCCGATCCGCGCATCAACTGTCCCAGCCAACATGGGCATTTCGACCTTTCCGACTTCCGGAGTATCAAATCCCTAGTCATGGATCATGGATCTAACTTTCATGATTCTAAGCATCATTCTTCCCGGCCAACATGGGCATTTCGACATTTCTTGCTTCGAGGGTAACGAACCCCTAGTCTTGGATCATGGATCCAACTTTCATGATTTCGAGTTTCATCGCTCCCACCCAACATGGTTTCGACCACCAACTCCTGGGATATCAAACCCCTGGTGCTAGACTGGATTAAGCTGTTTATAACAGTATGTGGCAGTGACCGTAATTAGCGGAAATAAGCTTTGCTTGCAATTATTGACACCCAGTCAAGTATCGCCATCAAAGACTAGATAGAGACGGATACCACCCCTTTCGTTGCCGTGCAGCACTCAGGTTAAATATCGTTAAACCTTGTAACTAGTTGCACTAGCTACCAAATTAACACTGATCTGGGATTTGAATAAGATGCCACTTTTCGTTTCAGAAACAGTCACACTTCCTGTGACAAACTGGATGTGTGAAGAAAAGATAGGGCCAGGACCCACTAGGGTACTACAGACAACGAAAGGTGAGTCAGGTTGCTTGCATCCGTAAAGGCAAGCAAATCAAGCAACCCTTGCAGCTTCTCCCTTCCCTCCGGCTTCCTCTCACACCTGTAGATTTGATATGTACTCTTGTCCTGCTTCATCTTAGACTCCGACCACCCACCTCTCCGCCATCAAGCACCTCCCATGGTCTTGACATCCTTGACATCCCAGAGCACTTGTAGTAGTCAAGAGGAGTCGTAGCTGGTAGCTAGGAGCGTCATCTCATGGATCCAGCAAAGTACTGGATGATAACCAGGAGAAAGCAGGGTGATCAGAAGGCGCCTGCCGTCTTCAGCACGCCGCACGTCACCGTCGGCAGCGGCGGCGGCACTTCCTCGGCCACCTACTACGAGTCGTGGGAGGAGCGCGCGTTCGCCCAGGACTCCGCGGGGAGCCTCGGGGGCTGCATCTGGCCGCCGAGATCCTACTCGTGCAGCTTCTGCGGCCGAGAGTTCCGGTCTGCGCAGGCCCTCGGTGGGCACATGAACGTCCACCGGAGGGACCGGGCCAGGCTCAAGCTCTCCGGGATGGTGGAGGAGGGGGGCGGCGTCGACGTCCATGGCATGCCTCTGCACCAAGGCTACATGATCCAGCCGCTGCCGTGCCCTCCTCCAAGACCTAGTGCTCCAAGCACAGAAGCTAACCCTAATTCAGTACGCAGTTTTCTTTCGGATCCAGGGAGGTCGTTGGTGGATGCTGCGACTGCAAGAACCATTTGGGGCAAACATGTCTTGGCCGCCCCTCTCGTGTCCCCATCAGACACCCAAGAACATGGTGAGAAAGAGGTGTTTCTTCACGATGCCGAGGTACGTTCAGAGCAAGAACTGCGTGTTGGGGGTGGCGAGCTGAAGCTGGGTCTTTTGGGCCGCCGAACAAGAAGTGTCTTTGAAGATGATAAAGAAGACGATGAAAGGATTGTTCATCTATGTCGCAAGAAGAGGAGGATTGATCTAGAGGCTACCGAGTTCGTTCTTTATTCTTCCTCTAGTGAGCATCTGCAACGTGATGATCCTCGTGATGATGGCGACGATGATAATCGTCGTGTGAAGGTACTTAAGCTTTGTCCTAGCACCCCTGCCGAGGAACTAGATCTTGAGCTTAGGCTTTGAGACTATCCAAAACTATACTAGAGCCCGTGATTCCATCTGCCTGTTTATTTCTACAACATTGTACAAGCGCTTGTATTTAGTTATTTGTTCTTCTTGCTCTGTAGAAACGTTGGCTTGAGCTATTTTACATTTTTTAATCTTATTTCGGTCGATTTAATTGATTTGGGCAAGTCAATTCTCTTTGCAAATGTCTAAAGGTGTACTCTAGAGGAAGCATCATCTCAACTGATTTGTCATATTTTGTATCAGGAGGTTGAACTCAAAATCAAGAGCTTACTTGCATACATGTGTGAAATTCAATGTCATTTTTCCTGTGTATGGCTTATATTTGTTCACCTAGTTGTTTCATCGGACTACCTTTATCTTCAAGCATTTTGCAAAAACGTCGCACTACTAGCGGTTGCACTTGCATGCAATCCCCTGCGTAAATGGCAGAAATGTTTCTGACTCTTGTCATCATCTTCGTTGGGTCAGCAGCTGCTTGGCATGGATCATCGTTGCTATTTTTTTTTCCTTTCTTCTTTGTATTTTTCTTTCGTCTGCGCATAGCTTTGGTCTTGTATGATTTTGCTTTATGCCGACATAATCCTTTGTGTGTGTGTGCGTTGGTGTTAAATGTGTGCATCCTAATCGTGCAGAGATTGTGTGCCTACTTGATCATTTTATTTGTATCCCCTTGATGCTATGTTACAAGTCAATAAAAATGCCCTTTATTGAAAGAATTTTTTTCAATATATGACTGTTGAACTAAGCTCACAACTAATTACTCCCTCATGCATGCTTCATAATAATAAGTCTATATATGGATAGGAAAAAACATGTAATTCATTTTTCATTAGCACCTATAGTGTACTAATGGAATTCCATATAGTAGCAAATATTGAGAATCTGTCGTGTAAAACGAATTAATCTGTAAGCACATGTATACTGGCGTCTTTATCTTAACTAATATGCGGCGTGGTGTGGTAAAGTGGCAAAGAGTAAACGTGTAAAGAACTTCGTAGTGTTGGTCCTCAAATAGCTTAATTAGCCTATTTGTTGGATGAGTTAGTTCACATGCATATGGCGCATTCGTTGTGTGTTTCTGTGCGCGCGCGCGCGTGTGTGTGTGTGTGTGTGTGTCATTGCATGTCATCCTGATCAGCTTGTACTAGCAACAACGAGAGAGATATTATTAGGGAGGATCACAATGGAGTAGACACAAACTGACTCGACTGCATGGGAAGTGACGAGGAAGATGTCATCTTCCCGTCGCTGCCCACAAATTAAGCTGCCATGCACTGACACATTCCAGCAGTGGAACTAAAAATTAAACCACATGCGCGTTCATGTGATGCCAGCAGAACACCCTCTAGGATACACCATTGCCACTGCAGCTTGCACTGATATCGCCTGCAGCTAGCTAGCAGCTAGCAGGAGCGCAGGCAGCATGACTAGTATACTAGTTTGATTCCATTCTCCACAGCACACATATTCCCTTCTCTCTTCTCCATGCAGCTTTTTGTTTCCTTCCTAATACCTCTCCCAACCGTAACATACATACCCAAAGACTCTTGTAAAGTTGTAATCGTTCTCTTCTTTGTACTGGCCTGAATGATCACTCTTATAATCTATGATCGATTTGTTTCCATCCTTGGACTGCACTACCTTTGAATAAAAGGCGCCAGAAGCCCATCCGGTGAGTTAACTTCTATGCAAGAGAAGTCATAGTCTCGCAATGAAACTAGCTGCAGAGCAGTTAGCTACATGAAGAGATATTGGTCACGTCCAGTTACCACCAGTATAGTGCACCATGCTCTGAGCAATACCTGCACGAGGGAGTCAAGTAGGTAGAGCTAGCTAGATGTCAACGGTGACATTTACAGAGGAATTTATGAACATCTGCTTGGCATTGAGCAGCTGGCTGCTTGCCCCATTAGGCCAGGGCCAGAGGGTGCAAGGGGCCATAGAAGCTTTCTGCAATGGTGTAAGTGCATCTACTACTGCATGCCTTATTAGCTTGTGTACATGAGCTGGTGCATCTTACTTACACATCCCTGGATAGGCAGCTGCATGCAGAACTTCGGATCGCTCAAAGCGTGTAATCTGCCCCGGATGTTTTTTTTGTCCAAACAGTAGGACTCTACTCTAGCTACTGTGTTTTTTTTTCTTGCAAAATTTGTGAAACGTATGCACATATAAGAAGGATGGAAAAAAGTATCTAAAGTTTTAAACCAAATTAAAGGAGCTCTGAGGTATAGCCCCAAAAGCTGCTAGAACCATTAAGAACAAAAAGAAAGCAACCAAGCTTGGAACCATCCGTGGATAGATGCAAGTTTCAATTGCACAGGACTGCATGATGCATTGATGCACTAGCTCAACTGTGTTTGTCTTGCCCGTGAGCTGGTTGCGCTCCCATGGACAAGTCTGGTCAGTGAGTCTAACAGCTACAAGTGTACTGAAGGGTTGTCCGCGAGCGAGCTATCTAGCTAATAAGCTAACTGGTCTGTTGAGTGGTCATGGAAATGATACTGTAGTGCATGAAATATATGTTACGGATCGATGCACATGGTTAGAGGAATGTCGTCGTCTTTAGCTGCAGGATTTTGCTGTATATTATATGTGAGATGTGATATGCTTGCAAAGGGGATGGTTGTTGGCGAGAGCCGAGAGGAGATTGCATATCATAATATAAGGTTGCTGTACTGCGAGCACTATGTGCAGTACTGGGATGCGTGTTCAATAATCGGGTGGGAGAGAATATGGAATCAAACGCAGTGGTCGCCACATGTGTATTTAAATCCAACGATTGTACTGCTGGATGTAGTGTATATAGTATGTTAGTGATCAGCAAGACAAATATACCTTCAAGATGTGTGGAACGTCGCAAGGTTATATTTTATGACATCGATACATGCTCAAGCATTCACTCATAGCAGTATAATACTTCAGATGGAGCCTCACATGAAGACGCATATACGTACGAATGTAGTCAGGGTCTCGCTCGGGGCCTTTATT